GAGAACTGGCAGCAGGACAGTAGTTTGCTGCAGCAAAGCTGAGAGCCCCAGCAGTGGGACTGTGGACTGCTGCAGTACAGCAGTGGGGCTGGTCACAAATTCCAGAAGCAGAGCCAGGCTGGGGGGGCCAGTGGCAGAGGGGCAGAAATGACCTCCTCTGATCCAGCAAATTCCCTCCTTTGGAACCACTCAAGTCCTGAGGGTACTGGACCAGGGAGGTCCAACCTGTAGTTATTTAGGGATCTTCTTTTGTAGCCAAATAAGTTTTATTTATCCAATTACAGTTGTTAAAACAAGTTAATTTATTCAAAGTGTGTACTCTTGTTCTAAAGGTCAGCGTGCACCTATTCAAAACCTATGTAGGGAGCATAGAACAATGAACAAACCATCTAAAGAACGGGAAGCTTAGGCTAAAACCATGCTAGCCAAACCATCACAGGTTATTTATAACAGTTTTATAACACAACTATTATAGTTTGAAGGAAAAAAAATCCACATACAGTCTGGTTAGATAAATCCTACTAGCAGTAGGATCGACTGTACTTAAATATGATACTGTTTCTATTAGGTTTCAACTGAAGTAAATTAGGTGGGGGCGTGAAAAGAGATGACGAACATAGATCAAGAGATGGGAGATCCCTTTTACTTGCATGGTTCTGATGAACAAGGGCTGAAGACAACACGGTCATAGGTATTTGAACTGCTGTATTGTGTTTACAAACGTTGGTGGAGGGCACTTGAATAAATTATACAAAATGGACACTGAGGCTACGTCTTCACTGCGAGTTCTTTCGGCAGAAAATACGCTAATGAAGGACTCATTAGCATAAGCCATAAAATCATTAGCATATTTTCTGCCATTTCTTTTTGCGCAAAAAGAAGCAGCATTGACTTTTTTTGTGTGCAAAACCCCTGTTTTGTGCAAGATCCTTATGCTTGTCCGAGGATCTTGCGCAAAATGAGGTTTTTGCGCAAAAAGAAGCAGCGTGGAATTTTTTTTGGTGCAAAACCCCTGTTTTACGCAAGATCCTTGGACAGGCATAAGAATCTTGTGCAAAACGGGGGGTTTGTGCAAAAAAAAAAAAAAAGTCCACACTGCTTCTCTTTTTGCGCAAAAACCCCTTGCACAAAAAGAAATGGCAGAAAATATGCTAATGATGTTGTGACTTATGGTAATGAGTCTCTCATTAGCATATTTTGTGCTGGAAGAACTCGCAGTGAAGATGTAGCCTAAAAGAAGGGAATCTGAGTCGTTCCTGCAGTGGCCCAGGATGAAGAGGGCCATACAGATTGAAATACTTTTGTGATTATGAAGACTGCAGAAAAACTAAAAGCTCTGCTAACAGTAGAAAATAAGGATTGAAATATTTCCCTTAATAAAACAAAATACCCTAATGTCATTGATAATGGCAGTTTCATTGAATTCCCTATCAACAATACAGCCCCTGTGCTAAGGGACATTAAACTCTAGCACAAAGCAAATTAAAATCACTACTACTAGGAAAAGGTCTTTCGTGTTCTGCTGTCTAGGCCTTTTTTATATTTTTTCTGCTATGTGCTAGAAGAATCAGTCAGGCAAGTCAGAGATAGGGTGAAACTGCTTTAACTTATTTCAAATTCCTTATTTTGGTTAGATCAGCTTTATTTTTTGCAATTCCTGCCATTTCTAAATACTGCAGTCATGCCTTGCACTCCAATAAACCATAAGTTACACAATAATGCATTAAGTAAAATATTTTTGTATAAGTAGTTTCACGTGAACAAATGACTCAGCATGACTTAATTCAGGCCAGAATACAACCTATTACGTTTCCTTACGGGATTTGTGTAAGTTTCTCATGAAATAAATTTCTAGTGAAATAAATAGTTTTGAAAGCTATCCTCATGAGCCAGGGATTAAAAAAACTATTAGCACTGCATTTCAAAATAAGAACAGAACCCAAAAATAAATATTAGATGAAGAGAATTCTTTGACTATATATACGTATATGTATACGTAAAATATATATGTGTGTGTATATATACCTTCCCCTCCTCAGTGTTTTGTTGACATGAGTTATGAACGTCTTCTTCTCTTACTAATTTGCCAGGCCATGAAGTCAGTCCTTTTATTTGGCCCCAGACCAAGTCGCCAACATTGAACGTCCTCGGCCTGTAATGTATCAACTCATTTGAAGAAGGGGAATCTGGATTCCTTAGGTCATCTTCACTGCTGATGCTTTTAGCATCTGAAGGGCTAGGCACACACCCATTAATGCTTTTGGCATTAAAGTCTCCATTATAATGGATATAGTCTTTAACTAGAGAACTTTCCAAACTAGTTGACGAACTTGGAGATTGCTCCTCCATGACTAGATCTTGTTTAGAAGTGTTCAGCAACTCTCCAAACCCCCTACTTTGTTGAGGCCTATTTCCATTTATGTGTGCACATGTTTCCACAGTGTTCTCCAGTCTCTCTTTAAAACTCATCATAGTTCTTTTGTAATTGTTATACCTGAAATTCTCCTCCAACATTTTATCATTTTGACAGTTTCTCTGTGGTAACAGTAACTGATGCTGCTCATTCTGTAACAATGGCAGTGTGGAAACATGATTGGGCCTTTCATGACAAGGACTGCTGTGAACATGGGTCGAATGATCTAAAAACTCCTCACACTTCCACCTGTTTATTTCACCTCCAGGGCTTTGCTCCTCTTCCCACTGTTTTCTGGATGTGTTGCAACCTGCTGATTTGTAATATTCAAATCCATCCCCTTCACTTGAATTTTTACTGTGTTCTGAATTCTTCAGTACTCGTGTCCCTCTAGTGTTTCTTATCCTACCTTCATGATCAGAGACACCAAGGTTTCTTCCATGGATTACGGCGCTGACAGCACTAGAAAGATTTAATGGGTCACCAATTGAGGCTGTGAAGGCACTCATGGCACTCAGAGCTGGAATGGGACTCATTTGTGTTGTACTGCTAACTGCAGTGGTGATTACTACTTGCATTCCTTTGCTCGCAGCATCTACAACTGCTTTGTAGATAGCATCGACTGAAGAATCACCCTGAGCAGCTACATTGAGGCTATCCTTTGCCTGTTGTCCTAGAGTTGGTTCAGTCCTTTGCTGCAAATCACAAGATGGTTCTTGAAAAGGAGGAAGGGTAGTGTTGGAACTTTCAGAAACTGATGTTATCCCCATTTGAGTGATCATTCTTTTGTTTAGAAGAGCAGCATCTTCTTGCATTCTCACCTTAAAAATAGGAAGGAGAAATTATGGAAATTTACATTTTCATTGGATGCTATATTTCAGAAGATACATTGGATGCTATATTTCAGAAGATACATTCATTTAATTCACTAACTGTAATGGTTACACATCAATGACATATTTTGTCATGGTTGTATATAAGCAGAGATCTACTTAAATTGTAGCAAAAATCACCCATTTTTCATTGATTGGTCCTGGCATAAAAAGCAAATTTTGCATGTGTGTGCATTAAGGATGTTATGACGCGGGTAGTTGACTAATCATGTAGTCAACACAACTTGTATTGAATACATCGGGGTCGGCAACGTCCGGCACGCATTCCTTAAGTGGTACGCAAGATGATTTTCAGTGGCACATGGGGGTAGGGGAGTGGAGAAAGTCCAGAGCCTTGCTGTGCAAGCAGCGAAAAAGCCAGAGCCATGCATGGCTCCACACATGCGCATGCGCTCCCTTCCCGCCCCCAGCTGGAGGAACAAAGCAGTACACTGGTGCACTACCTGCAGGCTTTTCCTGGTGCTCCACTGGCCAGAATCCAGCCAGTGGAGCAGTGGGAAGCCATATCTGGGACAGAAATCCTGAGAGCAGCGCAAGGGGCAAAAGCAGACCCGTCCGCCATCTTGTCTGTAAAGGATCTGCTGCTGCCATGGCTGTGTCCCCACTGCTCTGCGCACTGCTCTGCTCTCACTTCATGCCTTCTGTGTGCTGTGTACTAGCACCCGCCAGAGAGCCCTGTGGGGCTGCTGGAGTCTGTCATCCAGGTGCCGGCAGGCTGGATCCTGCCAGCCTGCCTGGACCCGCTGGCTGGATTCCCTGCGCTCCTGTCGAGGCACGGCCTCCATTCCATACTCGGCCCACGGGTTGCTAATTTATTCCATGTGTGGAGCAGCTAACTTATTCCGTGTCTGGCTGCCACGTGGGAGTGACTGTTACAATAAATAAACCCTGTTCCAGACACTGGGAAAGAAAGTAAGTGCTGTCCACACATGTCCCCTCCTCTGTGCTGAGACCCTGCACCCACATCTTGCTCGTGCCCCCTTCCCCCTTGCCAAACACCCACCCGCACCCTGCTCCTGCCCCCTCCCCCGGTCAGACACCCTACTCTCACCCTGCTCCAAGTGCAGGGAAGTGCATGCGTGCTGCTCCTTCCCTCACCACAGGAAAAGCTGGAGCAGAGCCCAGGGCAGGATACCAAGCGGGGTGCACAGTGGAGAGAGCTCCTCCCTCCCAGGAGAGTGGGCATGGCGCAAGGCAGAAGAGTTAAATCTTGGCATGCCACTTCGGAAATGTTGCTGACCCCTAGACTACACGTCAGTAAAGGATCCCACTGCAGCTCTGCAGTTTAAATGTAGTAGGAACTGGGTCCCAGACCAATGTGCCTCTGCCTCCTCTCTCCCGCCCTGCGCTTCCCCCAGCACCAGCTCCTGCTTCCCCCATGATACCGAGGCAGCAAGGAGGGAGTGAGTAATCAAGTACTGACTTGACTAGTTGCTTACTTCCCTATTGTGCATACAGTAAATTACATGCTATCCTCCCTGAAGCTGCTGCAGGCAGCTCTCCAGCAATAGCCAGCAGCCACTACTCTCCTGTCACTCAGCTCTGAAGGCACAGAAGTAAGCATGGCATCACCATGACCCCCCCCCCCTTAAAATTGTCAGATTTCAGAGTATGTGATACATTTTTCATGCCTGTGAATTTAGTAGGGCCCTATACATAAGGGCTACGTCTACACTGGCCCCTTTTCCGGAAGGGGCATGTAAATTTCAGCAGTCGTCGTAGGGAAATCCGCGGGGGATTTAAATATCCTCCGCGGCATTTAAATAAAAATGTCCGCCGCTTTTTGGGCTCGTCTACACTGGCCCCTTTTCCGGAAGGGGCATGTAAATTTCACTCGTCGTCGTAGGGAAATCCGCGGGGGATTTAAATATCCCCCGCGGCATTTAAATAAAAATGTCCGCCGCTTTTTTCCGGCTTTTAAAAAAGCCGGAAAAGAGCGTCTAGACTGGCCCCGATCCTTCGGAAAAAGTGCCCTTTTCCGGAGGGTCTTATTCCTACTTCAAAGTAGGAATAAGAGCCTCCGGAAAAGGGCGCTTTTTCCGGAGGATCGGGGCCAGTGTAGACGCTCTTTTCCGGCTTTTTTAAAAGCCGGAAAAAAGCGGCGGACATTTTTATTTAAATGCCGCGGGGGATATTTAAATCCCCCGCGGATTTCCCTACGACGACTGCTGAAATTTACATGCCCCTTCCGGAAAAGGGGCCAGTGTAGACGTAGCCAAGGGGAAAAAGATGATCACTCAAGGAACAGAATCAGAAAATAAAAAGGCAATCTAAAAATATAAAATATTATGAATATGAATACATAACACTAGCTTTCACCCTTTGCTCAAAAAGACAAAACTTTGCAATAATAGGTGGTATTTTAGATGACAAAAATGTTCAAATCTCTCTTGTTGTAACCACACCTTTCTGAGTCTCTTTCTTTTTCTGAATGAAGTCCAAGATCCTCATTCTGACATTCAAAGTCCTAAACAACATAATCAGTGCCAACATCTTTATATCCTAATTTATTTCCTCATATTCCTCCCTCAGGCTTCGTCTACACTATGGCATTTTTGCAGAAGAGGAAATGCAAAGGAAGCGCTCATTTGCAAATCTTGTGCTCTCATTTGCATATTCTCCTCTGATCCTTTTTGAGAAAGAGGTTTTTTCGAAAACCTCCCGCTATGTAGATGGGGCTATTTTCCGGGAAAAAAACAAACAAAAAAAAAAGGCCCAAACCTTTTGTGCAAGATCCCTTATTCCTCAAAAAATGAGGTTTACAGAATCTTGCGCAAAAGGGTTTGTTTTTTTCCGGAAAAATGGCCCCATCTACACAGTGGGTTTTTTTCACAAAAATCTCTTCTGCAGAAAGGACCGGAAAAGAATATGCAAATTAGAGTACGAGATTTGCAAATGAGCACTTCATTTGCATTTCCTCTTCCATAAAAATGCCATAGTGTAGACATAGCCTCAGTCTCTATTTTCCTTCATAGTTTCACTCCTAAGTGCTTTTGTTGTTTCTACCCACTCTCTGTTTTGTTTTTTTGTTTTTGTTTTTTGTTTTGATGCAACATACTGGCTTGAAATCGCCTCATGTGCAAGTGACCTACCTTTCCCTTGTTCTTATACTTTTCTTTTATGAAGTCGCTCTCCTTTGATCCTTCATCAACCATGCCTCCAACTCTTTGCACTGTAGCTATTTCATGTATTATCTATTATAAACTAAGTTAGATTCTGAGAAACCCTGTATATTATGTTTGTTGTGTACATTGATAGTGAAGTAAAGAGAATAAGCAGTATTAATACTATAGAAAGTATGAAGAGAAAAGAATGGCTAGTGAAGCCAAAATATTTATTGGCTAGTGAAGCCAAAATATTTATAACTACTGCTTTAAATACTTACCATCATTAAACTCTTACATAATTCACGACAAAAAGAAAATACGAAGAAGTAGCTAACATATTTAAAAAATGTGAAGGGGTTAATAGGCAGTTAGATGACTGTGATTTTGCAAAAAAAAGGTCTACAGGGAAATTTCTAGTTGTCTAGACTGACAAAATGATATGTTGTCTTTTTCCTTCTTAAAGGATAAAAGCTTTTCTGGCATTATCACCTGCTGCCTTCACATTTTCAGTTCTGCAGCACTATAATAATGTTAAGTACACAATGTAACTCTTTTTGTTCCTTAACTCTGTTGATACTTTCACTGTCATTCCATTACTTTAGCATTTGAATTTACATTATCAACACAGTTGTCTGTTTGGATGGTACTGTGAAAGGAAGATACCATTCTTACAAAAATTTTTATTATATGTCCACTCTAATCACTTATGGTAGTCCTTTCATTTACTTCAATGGGCACTGTTAGAAAAAGTAATTTGCTCACAATCACTTCCTCTTTCTCTTCCTCTTTCCCATTAAGGGTACATCTACACAGCAGTGTTATTTCGGAATAACTAATGTTATTCCGAAAAAATACAGTCCGCATCTATACTACAAGCAGTTATTTCAACATAATGTCAAAATACTGTCTAGCTTGAGGACTTCTTACTCCAATTCCTGTAACCCTCATTTTACGAGGAGCAATGGAAGTTAGAGGAAAAGTGCTCTTCCTCGGACTTCCTGCTGTGTAGACAGCACTAAAAGCCGAAATAAGCTATTTCGACTTAAGCTACGCAATTGATGTAGCTAAAGTTGTGTAGCTTATTTTTGGCTTTAGCTCTGCTGAGTAGACATGCCCTAACTGACAATTCTTTTAACTTTTCACCAGTCTACAATTTGTTCTCAACCAAGAGTTAATAATCCTACACAAATTAACAGCTCCTGAAAATTAATAACAGTGGTCATATATGCACATCGTAAGTAGTATCAATAATATAAAAATGACGTTCAACTTATTAGTAAAACATATAATTTTAGTAACATGTTTCTAATTTGCAAATACAAAATCCATGTTAAAAAGGATAACTAACTGGAATAAAATAGATGGTTTTAAATATTCAATGAAAAAGCAGAATATAGATATCAGTTCTACAATTAGCATTTTTAAAATTCACTCAGTATTGATTTCATTGTACTTTCTACCTGAAAATTTTGAAACAGACAAGCCATAGGGTTTGGGTTGTTAGTTGGTCCAGGAATTGTGGGCTGCCCATGAAACCCCTGAAGATTCTGGTACCCCTGGAGAAACTGGTGTTGCTGCTGATTTGAAGGAAACATCTGATTGTTGTTTAACAGTGACTGGAGATGAGTCAGTTGATGGTTATTCAAAGTAGTGTTTATCGACGACACATCACCTGCAATTTCAAACATATGAAAAAAGAAGTCAGCATAATTTTCAAGAGTTTGTGAGAGTTACCTTGAGTCATATTTTAACTGATGGTAAACAAATACCGACACTCGCTGTACAAAACTTTTCCCATGAAATCTTCTGTACAGTGATCTCAAGGAATATGCTTCCTACAGCTTATTCCTTCATTTCTTCCACATGCCTTCTTTCAGGTTAAATCTATCTATACATGGACTCTTTCTAAAGATTTCTGACATGACTGTCCTTCATTCTGGAATGGCACACAGCCAGGAACAGTAGAACCAGAGCCAGCTGGTATTCATTTTCTTGGAAATCCATTCTTAGCTTCAAAAGACTGACTGCTTCATACCACACCACAGCTCTCCACCCACCAACCTTTTCGTAATTATGACATTGCTATCTGACAGAACTAAACAATGATCTAAGGCCTTTTGAACACAAAAACACACTAGATAACTCTACTAGTGCTCTTTTCTAGATACAGGAGAAAAATCTCATAGTAAGATTAAAAAAGTATAATAAAAAAATCTGCATTTTGTAACAAAATAAAAATCTCCAGTGCATATTAAAATATAAAATAAGAGTATCAGAAACAACAGAAAAACAGTTTGTGACCCCATATCCTATTAAATTACAAAATAAAAGAAACCTGAAAGTGGAGTTTACTATTTCTTATTTCTGAGTTAACACAAACGAATGTTCTTCCTAAAGTTAATGCTAGTGGAGTCAGCTGATGAAAATCAACAGACATTTTATTTTAGATAAAAAAAATTAATCCTAATTTAATAACTATCCTAACGCTAAATTAAATTACATTGGAAAAATAGGGCTGAGTTCATAGTAACAATCCTGCAGCTTGACAAAGTAACAAAGTTGCAATACTTTACAGCTCTTTGACACAATATTTTAGTCATGCCACTGTTATATTTAGTTGCTTATTGAGTCCTAACAGCACAGAATACAAAATATATCACATGTTCTGGGTAAATATATCAAAACACTAGAGATTTAAGAGAACAGTCTAGGTTTAAAAGTTCATTTATTTATGTAAGGGCTTGACAGGTGTGATACTCTCAGTTCTAAACTACAACAAAGAAATGAAAAGCAAAGAAACAGGAGAACAGAAATGTATAATCAAGGGCTAGCAAGGGCAACCTACTTCACTAAACTTGTGCAAGGCTTTACTTGGAGTGCTTTATGTACTACATAGGACATGTGCTATAGTTTTGGCATATTTTTTATTTAAATGGAAAAATGCACTTGGCCATTTTCATCTATTGCACAGCTACTCACACTAACCCTGTGATGCCACATACATTTGAAGTAAAACACTGCATCCCAAAGATGCTCATGTGCTTTCATTACATGAAAGGTAAAAGGAGTCACATTTGCTTGACTGAATTTAAATGTGTGTAGTAGGCTTGGTGGCATCAGAATGAGGAAAATTAAAAATAATATTATATTCAAAAACAGAATGAAATATTGCTGAATTTTAAAAAAATTGCTATGTAAAATTTCTGACAGTAATGGTTATTTTTCTCTAGAAGTTTTCAGTGAGCTGTGACATACAAAACTCTTTTAGGAATAGTGCAATTAAATGGAGTCTTTAATAATAGAATATAGAATCAGAAACTCTCCCCCCAACCTTCTGTTTTTTAAATCTGTGAAAAAATTTAACTTACCAAGCAGACCTGTCCCCAGTAGAGGGTTAAGTAGCTGTGGCACCACAGAGTTATTGTTGAGTTTAGCTGGACCAGATGTATTCCCAGCATTATTAGATAGGTTCAGCAATGTTTCTGCCATTGACACCACTGCTGTCCCACCAAGTGTTGAGACAGACAGTGCTGTCACTGCTGATGATGTAGTGGTTGTGGTAGTGGTTGCCTGGGAGGAGGTTGCTATGGATATCTCTGGATGATTAGCAGTGTTGCCCGATGTGGAGTTCAGGACACCTCCCAACAGCTGGGGATTCAAGGCCATAAATCCCGAGGCCCCAGTGACAGCTGGGAGGAGCAAGGGATTAGAAGTAGTATCAGTGACTGTAAAGCTTGGTATAGGGTCCCCCAGGGGGTCGGTTAAAAGGGTCTCTGCTCTGTTGCTTTCTGACTGATTGCTTAGCAAATGGTCTGGTGGGGTGGTCATCTGCGTTACTGAGGGTAAAGGGTTATTTTGCTGTTGTAAAAAATCTGAGATGGTCAAATTGAAAGATGGAAGGGGAAGCATGGCAGCTACTTGGGCTTGATTCTGAAGCATGGCTGCTAGAAGCTGAAAATGAGCAGGCTGTAATACCTGCCCATCCATGTCACTGGAGAGAAAAGCTAGGGCAGCATTTACACTTGGGTTGAGAAAACCTAAAGGGTTGAGGATGACCTCAGACTTGCCTTCTGGTTTAGGAGATGTTGTTGATTCACTGGCAAAGAGATAGGTAGAGAATTGAGAAGGTTTGGATTCAAAGAATGCGGAAGATTGTTGTTTGAAGAGCAGTTCTGTGGAAAGTGAAGTGTGTGTTCATGGCCAACAAAAGGGAAATCACTCCCAATGGGCAGCTGGCTCGGAAGTGGGTTTCCAGCTGCAGTAGTGACTATGACACCATCTTGAAGAACGGATGTTGTCTTTGTAATGGCAGGTTGGCTGGTTCCAGCTATGGCTATGGAAGATGATGGTCCTGAATTCCCTGTAACACAAAACAATACATATATTAACAATGTCTTCTGAAGGACAAATACTATCATTACTGAAATGATAATTAGACTCTTCGAAATCTAGCTATATTCAGACGAAGAAAATTCAAACAGCATGATTTTACCATTTTTAAGTAAGACAATCTGCAATGAATTATTTCAGATACTGCACAGAAATGTCATCCCCACATAACAAATGGAGTCCTGCTTACATAAAAAACTTACATTTCTTTTCAAACTCCTTCATGAGACTTGTGTAAGAGGCTTATTCTAGCACTGAAAAGTACCCATGTTCTGTTTTGACACCACACCATATCTACTACTAAAATGATCAGCAACACTCTGAAGATCTAACGGTAAAGAGTATGATCCCAAGATTAGATCAGGAAGTTAGGAGCAAGGATTAATGGTTTCTATTCCCAGTTCTATCAGTATATTGCTTTTTCCATATGCATAATGATCAGAACACATCCCATCTAACAGTATGTTTTGTGAATTACTGTTGGGAAAGCATTATACAAGCTGCCATGAAAACATAAATTTGTTATGAAGGAAAAGGTAAAGTCTTTTGGGTGGCGTGGATGGCTTTTTTGCTGGGAGTGACAGAGAAATCCGAAGCTTCCCTGCAGAGTGGATTTACAATAAAGGCTGTTACTTATTCAAGACTGGTTATTCTTTTTCTGCTTCTGCATATCTATCTGCCTTGACCAATGTTGGACTTCACAAATCAATTATCTGCTTTCCTCTACCTGACGGAATTTTTGCATTTGGATTGACAGTAGTTGTATGCAAAAGCTGTGTGTCATCAGGAAGCAGGAGAAATAAAACAGAATATAACCACCTTTGAACGATATTTTTCAACCAGATATGGTGACCAAAGAGACGCCTTTGGTACTGGAAAACATAAATACTAAAATTGCAGATTAATTTGATAGCAGAAAAAACAATGTATTTTATCTTCTATTTAAAAAACTACAGCAAATTCCATTGTATAGTCTGTTGATCAGATAAAAATCAGAGAGCATCAATTATAATTTAGCAAAATTGCAGAAACAAGTGCTATTGGAAACTGGGAGTTCAACTTCCATCAGAGTATTCTTAAAGATAGAATCCAATTTTTTTTCTGGGAACCCATCTTTCAAGAATCATAAAGTATTGACAGCTCAACATTATACATAATTACGTATATTACATGAGATGTCAACTGTTGAGCTCCTTGGACCAAGGATCATGCCTTTTTTTTCTGAGAAGTAGTACAATGTTATGGTGCAGTAAATAGACACACAAAACAATTTACTTGCAGCTGAAGTTGACAGAAATCAACTTTGCAATCATAAGAACAGGATTTCACAGGCTCCCAGGGCTGCATGTTAGCAGACAAGTGTTAATGCTAGCAATGACAAGTAAATTTTTTCAGACAGAAGTCTAGAACCTGTGACAAAAAGGAAAAACAGAAAACAAATTGTCCTTCTCCATGTAAATGACTGCACCAGGAGAAACATGTGGACTGAAAATATCCACAGTGGTAGGTAGCTTTTCCCAAAAAAGCTAATTAAAAACTGAAAATAACACAAGTTTACAAGGAACCTTCCAAACACTGAAATGATGAGGGTGGTGAATGGCAATCAAACAACATGTAAGAGAATGAAAAGTTTACTCAATTCTGCAGACTAAAAGTCTCTGACAAATTCTCTAAAACAAAATGTCAGAAAAAGTTCCCTCTCAGTGTTTCTCTCTCTCTTTCTCACACATGACTGCATGGAACACAACCGCATTGACATAATGGAATGGTATGTTACAAGATATGAGATTTTTTGTTTTTAATGTGTGTCACACTGGCTCTAACAGACAATAATATGCATGAAATGTGTAATTCATCCCAAATTAATGAGATGGATAATTTAATTTAGAAATAATTTTTGCATGTTTTATTGATACTATTTTTCATTTCTTGCATCTATAAGCCTGTAATCCTTAGTATCATGAGTTTGACTAAACAGGAACCAGAGAACAGGGAACCAGAAATAACATATTTCAAAAGCCTCTTAAGTAACTTTTTTCAAACACAGAAGCAAGTTATTTGCGTTCTACTAGAAATCAGGAAACTTTCCTTTTCTAATAGTATAAAACTCTTGGTTTTAGCTCTGATGGGTCAGGTAAATGTTGGTATCTTTTAATGGTGCAGGATCGAATGTTGAGAAATTACCTTTCTAGGAAAAAAGGAAAAGGTTCTCTTTTAAAAAATGGCAGCTATTTAATGCTGCTCAGAAGGTTTAAATTTGAGGAGGCCAGGTTAAGAAATACTATGAGAAAAAGAAAACCATGTGAAAATATTTAACAGCAGAACCTATCAACATAATTTAAGATTATAAAGTGGCCATTTTGGGTGAGACCAAAGATCCCTCTAGCCCAGTATCCTGTCCTCCAACAGTGGCTAATGCCAGATGCCCCAGAACAAATTAACAGAACAGATAATTATCAAGTGATCTAGCTCCTGTTGCCCATTCCCAGCTTCTCACATACAGAGGCTAAGGACACCAGCCCTGCCCACCCATGCCACTGATGGACCTATTCTCCATAAAGGCATCTAGTTCTTTTTTGGAACCCAAATATAGTCTTGGCCTTCAAAACATCATCTGGAAAAAGTTCCAGAGGTCAAATATGTGCTACGCTTTGTTTGTTTTAAACCTGCTTCTTATTAATTTCATTTGGTGACCCCTAGTTCTTGTATTATGAGGAGTAAACCGTCCTTTATTTACTTTTTCCACTGCAAGCATGGTTTTATAAACCTCTATCATATCTCTCCCTAGCTTTCTCTTTTCCAAGATGAAAAGTCCCAATTTTATTAATCTCTCCTCAAACAGAAGTTGTTCCATTCCCCCAATCATTTTTGTTACCCTTTTCTAAACCTTTTCCAATTCCAATACATCTTTCTTGAGACAGAGTGATATCTGCATGCAGTACTCAAGATGTGGCCATATTGTGGATTTATGCAGAGGCAATATGATATTTTCTGTCTCATTATCTTTTCTTAATGATTCCCAACATTCTGTTCACTTTTTTGACTGCTGTAGCACACTGAGTGGATGTTTTCAGAGAACTATCCATAATGATAGATCTAAAATGTCTAATTTAGACCCCATCATTTAACCTGTTTACTTGAGATTATGTTTATCAATGTGCATTGCTTTGAATTTATCAACATTCCATTCCATCTGCCATTTTATTTCCCAGTCATCCAGTTTTGTGAGATCCCTTTGCAGCTCTTCACAATCTCCCTGAGACTTAATGATCTTAGGGAGTTTTGGATCATCTGCAAATTTGTCCACCCTTTTTCCAGATCATTTATGAGCATGCTCCATTCCAAAAACTGACCACTTATTCCTACACTTTGTTTCCTATTTTAACCAGCTACTGATCCATGAGAGAACTTTTCTTCTTATCTCAGGACAGCTTACTTTGCTTAAGACCCTTTGGCGGGGGACTTGGTCAAAACTTTCTGAAAATCTAAGTATACTATATCCACTGGATGCCCCTTGTCAACATGCTTGTTGACCACCTCATATTTATCATACTAGAGACATATGAAACAAAAATCTGGCTGGACCCCTGTCCACTCCATATAAAAACAAAGCAACCTTCTCAAATCAGGCTTGTGGAGAAGGAATTAGCTTAGACAGGAATATAGTACAAGTATGTAAAAAATCTGGAAATATAATTAGCTCACTGAAATAAAATTCATGTTATTATGCTTGCTCTTACACTAGGATTGCCAGTTGAACAGCTGTACCTAGCCCCACATTCTTTTTATACAATTTGGTATAAGTTGGATCAATATTGATCACTGCATAGAACTATTTTTAAATCCCACTCCTGTCCTGTTTTATCCCCTCACACATTTTTTTTTGCATTTTTATCCTGTTCCCACCCACAGAAACCTTTGAACCCAGAAAATCTGCAAGAGAAATAGATTCCTCCATGTTATCGAATGCAAAAACACAACTCCACTAAAACACAATCAATATACATAAATTGAATTCTGGCACAATTTTTACCACTATAAGAATAAACCAACCCTTTTTTTCCCCTCAGTAACTTTCCCCCCGACCCTTTCCCCCCTCCCCAACTTTTTTTTGTTTTTTGCTCACAAAAAAATCCTTGGTGTTCCTCATAAAAAAAAATTGTTTGGTGTTCCTCAGCCTTAACAAGTTTAAGAAGCACTGGAGTAGATAAAAACAGCTTTCAACACCTTAGTCTGGACCTCATTAATAACCAGAGACTCTATAAATGGATGTTTCAGATGCATCAAGCCTAAAATGAGCTTCGTCAAGCAAGGGACCACATAGAAACTGGTCTACCTTGATCATACTTACAATAAGCTGAAATAGCTGCCAAAGTAACACCGAGGGAATTTTTATTTTACTTTTTTTGTTTTGTTTTAAATCAAATTAAAAATGATGGGCGTTTAAGTAGCTGTTATATTAAAGACAGATATTGGAATCATTGTAAACAAGTTTCTGAAAACATCTGCTCCACTAAAGTGGCAGTCAAAAAAACTACCAACATTAGGAACCATTAGAAAAGGACATTAGGAATCATTAAGAAAGGGATAGCTAAAAAGACAAAATATCATGTCACCATATAATTAATGCCCACACACTTTCAATCCTGTGTGCAGTTCTATTCATCCAATTTCAGAAAAGATAGATTAGAATTGGAAAAGGTACAAAGAAGGGCAACAGAAATTATTAGGGTTATGGAACAGCTTCCATATGAGAGAGAAAAGACTGGGACTATTCAGCTTGGAAAAGAAACAATTAAGGGTGGAGAAGGGGGGAGGGGAGAAATTGAGGTGTGCAGATACTATGGATGTATGAATTTTAACTGGTTACCTGATAAGCAACACCCAGAAGCAGCCCCATGAGGCTGGAAGTCAGCAGCCTTGTGGGGGACGAAGGGCTGGAAACAGCGGGGGTGAGGGAAGATGGCTCCC